GCATTTGTCTACCGGTGTCTGTTATCGTCCCGAGTGATGTGTTGCGACAAAACTGATTACAATGCATGTTTTTTTTTTGTTTTTTTTGTTTTTTTTTATCTGCGAGTCATCATTCGAACAGCATTTGTGACAAATCAATTCCCGCTCTCTCTACTTATGGACCCAGTGACCACTTTCTTCGAATTTGGTAACCATCCCTCGTCCTGTCGTTTGAGGAGTTATGTTTAAAAGCAAAAAAGTGACGATATGAGGTAGAAAAAAAGCATACCTAACAACTGTGTATGGTTTCTTCAGCTTGTTAAATACGAGCTTTACACATGGAAACTATATCATTACATTAATACCACGATGCATTATGGTTGTTGGCAGCTGAAATAAGTATTTAAGTACGAGATTGTTATTCACTTATCTTCTTACAGTGAAGTACTTGAATAGTTTCCGATATATTTGGCTACAGTTCGGTATGAACAAGTGTGCACTTGAGCCACTTTTGTAAACTCAATGGCAATGCTGCAGATTACTATAGCGATATTGAGACTTAAATGCGCCTTAACCATTAGTATGCATAGCTTTCATGCTTAAACAGTCTTCAGAAACTGATTCAACCACGCCAACCGCCAAGACCAGAGCTGTACATAACATACACATATACACCAACAGACATTGGGCTATTTAGTATTTCAGCAGTTTATTATTCATTTGTATTGAGTATGTATTAAGACAAAGGAAAAGTCATCATATATTACCTGTTACATGCAAGGTGGATTACCATCGAAACTGTTTAAAGTTATAATTTTGACCTATTTAAGGTAATGTGAAAGAGTCAAACGTTACCAACAATAAAAACAAGGTATTCCTTGTTTGTCCATGTATAATGGAGAGGACGCCACTGCTTAATTTTATTGGGAAATATTATTAGGGAAAATGTCAACATTTGCGATACGGTAGTGATCAAATAAGGTTGTTTGTATTGGTTTAAAACATTGTGCTCGTGTTTTTAAGAAGTATAGGGCCATACATGTATTTCTAACCAGTAGTATGTTTTGATGAAGGAATTCGAAATTCGTTAAAATGATTGACTTCCATCTATTTTTACGATCACATATGCTATTTGTTTTTAACGATTTCAACGAACGTGCTCTGAATACCCAGGCCTACAGTGAGGATATTTAGCTATAAGCATGCTCGGATGAAGGATAACCAAGTTAATTCAAATTAATTTAGCCTAAATATGTTATTTTTTTCGAACCTCTTCTCCTGAATAACCATATGTCCTACGTTAATGCAATCGGGTCAGTACAATACTATGGTGGCGTAAATGGGTTCGAAGTTTGTTAAACTGAACGACATTGACTGACATTCAAGTTCACATGATTCAAAATCAGTTACTCGTTTAAACATCACATACATATAACGTAGCTACTAACCAGTTGAAATATATCCATGCATGATTTATTTGATTTATAGATACTTGAAGGGTAGCACTACGATATATAAAACCACGGTTATTACATGAACATTTTTACGAGGGTCTTTTGACACAGATATTTGTTTGGTAATATAACAAAAAAAATAAAATGAAGACAAGTTAAAAATTGATAAATCTAAATACTTAATTGTCAAAACCGATACAACAATACTATTTAAATAGAATTTCAATCAATTAGCAACAAATTAAATCTATACAATAATTTAGCAAACACTACATCTTCTAGAATACTGTACATATATACATATGAATTCAACAAATAATTCAAGAGTTAATTTCTGTCGCGTTACTTCGTATATTGTATAACATACATTTAAATTTGTATTAACCAAACTTTATACACCTTTTTATTTTGGTTGACGAATGTTCCTAGGGGAATATGACATCATGTGCATTTTCAATTTGGTCCGTGCTAATTGAAACGGAATGAAGTGATTGCACACATATCGCTTACGAGACATTTAGTTTACATATTTCTACGCAAACATAATTTCAAAAACAATCTTGCAATTTGAAAAAAAAAACTCATGAAATAAATACTCGCCTTATGCGCCAGTAAACATTTAACTGCGTCTTACTCAAGTTTAAATGGAAAAATAAACTGTAAAATTGCCGTCAAATTGTTAGTCTACAATTTCTCGAGTTTTTAACAGTCGCATCACATTACTATAATATCATTCAGGACATACGGGTATATACAGTAAAATGTAATTCGGGATTCGTCGTTTAGGGTAAATATATAGAGAGAAATACATAACATAGTGCCTGTGTGATCTGTACAATGGGAATATATAAACTATAAACATACTTGGTAGCGTTTTCGCCTGATTGACTGACTGTCATCAGGCGACTGATGAATCCATACATGGGCGACAATCCTAGCAGTGCTGTCGTGCGGTTAGGACAATGCACTTCCTATTGTAGATATACATATCAAGACATGATAGGTTTACACCTCCCTCGACGATCTACCTCTCAATATATAGTGCTGAAAACACAAACTACTGTTTGTAC